AAGGATCCACCACTGTATCACATCTCACGCGTGATCGCTGAGTGAAAAACTGTGTTTATTATGTTTCCAGCATCTGTATTTTCAGTAAGTTACATAAACTATTTTACACGAACTCGGAAAATTTACCTTCTTTTCCTTTCTTTTGTCTTCACGACTATAAATTACGTCTAAGCAGTTCAAACCATTCGCTATTCTACCCAAGAATAAATCCAAATACGCTAAATTGTTCTTTTTGAACTACCGAGGCAGTCAACTTTCCGAATAACATTAATAATTGATAATGATTGACCATTCCAATGTACGATCGCATTCCTAAGTAAATGTCCAAGTAACCACGACAAAAAGTTGGTGAAATGTACATATTACAGTTAAATGCTAAAGGAGGCTTGGAGAAAGCTTACCTTTGAAGTCCTGCATCGTGGGGTAACAGTAGCGGAAGTGCTCTAGGCGACACGCGTGAACGTTGAAACCCATCTGCCGCAGCACCGTCGAGAAGTCAAGCACAGGATCAGTAGAACGATGGTAGGGCGAGATGAAGCTATTAGCGTCCTAACACACAAATTGCCTTAATAGTTTCAATATATTGTGAGAAAAGTGGGGAAGGTCGGGCGGTATCAGCCATCCTATCTTTAAATATGGTTTCTTAATTAAGGTTAGTTAAAATTATTCGTGAAATGCAGAATAAGAGACTTCAATCACTTACACACTATATCAAAGAAATTTGGTTTGAAAGTAAAATAATATGTTTAAATGGGGATAGTAAAAATCGTTGACAATATACATATCTGTAAAGTGGAGGGTGGTATCGGACAACTAAAGAAATTATGGTAAAATAATTTTAATGGACTTTTACCACAGCTATTCACCGAAGATACGCTCCATATTGAGACAAATATAGAGACATAATACAAAGTGAGTATTTGGCCACATGGGAAAATAACAGTTTAATTAAAAAACAAAAACGAACATTGCATGCGTCTTGTGAGAAATATTGAATTTTGATTTTCAGTTTATAGCTTTACAACTATCATTTTTGAAGGTGTTCATGATCGTCCTGTCCAGCGACTGGAAATTGTGAGACTATTGGACTGGTGGTATGCTTCGAATGTGATGTTTCTTCGAATAAAGGATCACATATTGGGCTTTGGTGTTATCTCTCCTTCTTTTGTGAGTATTTTTAGCCAATCATATATATATATATATATATATATATATATATATATATATATATATA